GTAGGCAGCCGTGTCAAAAGTGTTAGCCAAAACGGGAAAAGTAGGAGTTGTGTTTTCTTAGCCTAACTGTTTTGATTTTCCTAGCCAAGCTCAGTGAGTAAGCCAAATATTACGTATACGACTTGTGGGCCGCCCAAGTGTTTGTAAGTCTCAGCCATGATAAAAAAAATCAAAAAACGCTTGCCTGCACACACACACACACCACAACACTACATTACAGAAGACTTACAACAGGAACCGTACAGTACACACTCGCTAGAGTGCACCGCAAACCTGAGTTCAGTTCCGGCTTTTTGGGCACGCAAAGAGATACAATAGAAACTCTATTTACAATACAGATACAATCCAGAAAAAAACCATATAAAAACACCACAAGAGTAACAAAAGCTTTTAGAAACTACAAAATTCGTTAGTAATGTTAATGCAACCCTTTTTCAGTTTTAGCGTGTGTGTGTGCGTATTGCAGTAAATGCAGAGTTATCAAAAGATGAGCCACAGAAAACTGTTATTAAGTACTTGGGTCCGAAAGTCGCTCAAGAATCAGAATCACAAGTATTCGAAAATTTCATTGTCATTCACCCACATATTGATAATGCTTGTTTTTGGTAACGCTCATTTTGCTCATCCTCCATCACCAAAAGTCAAGTATCAAATTTACAAAAGATGATCAAAACAATAAGTCATATCAAGAGTTAAAAAATTTTTTCAATATCTAAAATACCCTAAGATAGTTTTTCAAATTTATTTTTGGTTTAGCACTTATGTTTTGTGGAGTTGTGTCTGTAATATAAAGTAAAATATTTTTTTAAATGACTAAAGATTAGAAATGTAATGGATTAAAGCTTATTTTTGTGATCGTCTTTTGTACAAATAGAATTAAAGCTCCATTGGCTCACGTAGTGCTAAAGATAAGTGCTAATAACTACACCCACGCCAAATTGATGTGCACTTGTCTTCGATTGTAACGATCTTTTATTAAATGATGTTCATTTTTACAGCTTCCAAGCACTCGGACCTGGATGTTATTTTCGGAGACACCAAGACCACCCCCGTGTCCTACGGAAACGGAAAATACACCCGGGCCGCAGGATCCATCTCGGATGCTGATATGATTTTCGGAGGACCGCCCTCCAACTACAAGAGCGATCGCTTCGGGGCCGCCAAGAGCATGAGCATGAGTTCCAGTGGAATGGGTTCCGGAAATGGAACCGGAATGGGTTCCGGAAGCTATAAGATCTACGAGGGCATCCAGAATGCGGCATTCAGCGACTTTAGCGACTCGGGCAGTATGAGCAGCATTGGATCGCACACCAAACGCTGGAGTGCCAGCAGGGAGGAGGACGACGAACTGGACTTGAAGTGAATCCAAAACAAATTCCAAAGTAGAACTTTCACTTAAAAAACCATTCACACTCACACACAAACTCATACGAGCAAACTATGGAAATCTATCTATTTTCTGCCTCTGAAGTTTCCTGGTTTCATGGGAAAAACAAACACTAAGCATATACTCACTCACTAAAAACCATAATCATTGGGTTACTATCGTTTCATCCATCAACTATCTTGATCGAAACACCTTCCTTTCGTTTGCCATAAATACACAAAGAAGGCGAAGAAGCAGCAGAAAATGCTATGTAGACACTGTAGTACACTACTAATATATAATTATAACCACCAATGCAACAACAATAATGCAAAGCCCATTAGATATGTGCAATGAAAAATGTCGCCGATGACTTGACTGGTTTTGCAGCATGATAAAATAGAAAGAATGAGGAACCTATTTAATTACCATACTTAAAAACATTTTGAAACATTTTCCAAAGCAACAAAATGATATATTAAATATATATATTATTGAGAAAAATATTGAATTATATACCAGACATATTAAACCAATTGAGAGTTGATGACATAAAAAGTATTCGCTAGCATATATTACGTGTTAACCTGCTAATGAATCAATGGGAAAACTTTTAAATAAATCAAATATTAATGAATCTGTTATAAACCAACATGAGACACATATGAAATCCTAAAAACTATATAAAATAAAAGACAATATGCGCAAAGTATAACAAACAACCAAACGTTTAATACTAATATATACGCGATCTAATTATAATGGATAAATCGGTTAACGAACTATATGTATTTGGAAATTACTATGAGCAAATGTTACATGCGAAACACACAAAAACACAAAAAAACACACGAGAACAGAAGCTACTCACACACAAAGTAAATGTTTATTACCACAAATATTATGATTATTATTATGAGTATTAGCAGTTAATGTTTACAAACAAGAAAGGCCTGCATCGGGGCTTCGAAAGATATGGAAATTGAGAGTACCAAGCACGACAAGCAATGTTAAACTAGGCTGAACCAACTGGACAACAATAACGAACCAAACATGTTCGAAAATCTAGCGATCCCATGCGATCCACATAAATTTACACGGTTTAGTCGGTACACGAAGGTCGAGAAATGTACGGATTACAGATGGAGGCAATGATATTGACGAATATTTAGATAATATACACAAGAAAATATTTATTAATGTTGCAAGCGACAACAACAACGAAGTCATATTATGCATTCAAAATATTAAACAATAGCTTCAATTGGTTAGGACTATGATTTAGCAACAAGTGTTTTGATAAATGTTTTTTGTTACGCACATGTTTAAGCATTATTTAGAGCAATAGACAATTTTACATATGTTATATTTGAAGTAATAGTTAAATTTCAATTGGGTTGTACCTATGGTTCTCTCTTTTATCAACTAATTGCATTAGAGAATTTTAAACACTGTTATATGCAGAGGAATATAACACGAGAACACTTGAAAACTTGTTAGTTTACCAACTCTCTTCGATTTTAGTAGAATCTACATTCGGGAATGCTACAAATATTTTAATCTAAACAAATTTACAACTCTACAAGTATATTGAATAACTATTGTTTTTGGTTAGGGCCAAGTCCCAGTTACTTCATTCTAATCATCCTATCATCTATATTCAAATATATATATATAAAATATGTATGTAATTATAAGTGAATCTTTGGCTACAAGTACTTTTTCGTAATCGTAAACATCATCATTTTACTCGAACTGGCACATATTCACGAAATGTTTTATAAACATATATTTATAACGACAAATGTAGAACAGAAAGTACATAGATAAATACAGGCATCATTCGAGGAATTCGACAAACGTACATATATCATGGCACCAGACCCACAACTCACTCAACCCATTCCCATAACCATATCGTGCATCAAAAGAACAGAAAGTGCTGAATACATAAATTGAAATGAAAATTCAAACGAAATACTCAAGCATATAGCGTATAACTTACACGACTTCTAATCTGTTGCAAAATATACCAAATAAATACTCGTATTATTGTGAAAGTATAGCAAGAAATATGTACTTATATGTTGTCTGTAATTGATTCAACTCCCAGTCTCCCCCAATAAATCCCAAAAAGTAAAAACCAAGGGAGACCCACTCATTCGGTACTCACAAATTTACTGCAAATCTATATATATACATATATATACTACGAATTATTCCAATGAAAAGCGGCAATTGCAATGGCTAAGAAAAACAAAAACCAAAACCAAAGTAACAATAAATGAGTTGATGATTGATACAAAAGCAAAGACACAAATTGTTTTCCACTCGACGCACAATTTCGCGTGTTTTACCTGCGGAATTGAGTTAGCATTGACATTAGGGGATTTTTCGGGCGGAAAAACGTCGGCGGCATTTTCAGGCTAATGACACCAGGAAAAACACTCTCGCTCTTCGATGCGCTTTTCCAGTGCAACGAGGCCTGCAGCCCAATCTCCTCCTCCTAACAGATGGTCTACCTGTCAAGCCATAAAAACCAGGCACTTCCCAGGGCCCAGACTAGTCATCATTCGCGGTACATTCGATACAGACCGATTTATAGACAAGCACGCGATCTTCGAGATGCCACAACCAGGCGGGGATTATTTCATCATCATTACTTCCTTCTTAGTTTTGATCTGTTTCCTAGATCTAACTAAGGCAGCCAGTTATCAAATGGAAAACTACGACCTAGATATGGATAGTGGGGGCATAACAAACTCTAGCAACGAAGAGGAGTTCTATGGAGGACTTACTTCCCTGGAAAGACCTATTTCTTGGCTAAGAAGTGCAAATAGCATGATGGGCAGTCCAGCTGGCCATGTGGTGATGCAGGTGGCCAAGGAACTGCTGCATCGTTCAGCCGGAAACAGTCAAGTGGGTCAGAGATAAGGGGCCTTAGTTTATAATTTTTTCAAATTGTTAATTTTTTTTTAGGTCCTAAGTTTGAACCTCACCAATCTGCTGATCATCATACTGCTAAAAGTCCTCATCTTCTCAGCTGGAATGCTGGGAGCAGGACACTGGAGTGCCTATGGTTATGGCCATGGTCGCTCGAGTGATAGCAACATCGGTTTGGGCCTAACTTCTGGTGATGACTATCTGATAACTGGGTTTCTAGCCGCCCAGGGAGCCGGTAGAGATGAGTGTCTATATGCAGCATCCTGTGCCAGCCCCGCGGCAGCCTACGAATACGCGAAGGCAGGACGTTCTCTTCTGGGCGCCATTGAATTGTTCCAAGGGTAAGCTAAGCTAAAAAATTCTCCACCAAAGATGTTATCACTTATATTTAGATTTAAAATAACAAGATATATTTTTTGACCATGTTACAGTTCAAAGAAATTTTATTAGCTTAGAAAATTGTATAAAAATTGCACTAGCATAACCGAAGAACTTAATATATCCTTAAATTGTCAGATATTAATCTGCTCTACTTTATCCACAGGGTGCCGCTGGAGAAACCTCGCTACACCGATCTCATTGTTCTAATGGAGGCAGCCGCTCACGATGGCTTCCAAGGAAAGGTCTGCAACACCACCCAGACTTGTGACGGATTGCTTTGAAAGTTAACCAATCGAAAACACTATTTATGTATCTATTTAAATGTATATTAAATCATTAGCTTGTAGTACAAACGAGGTGCAGTCTAGTGCTGGGTATTCTGCTTGTGGTGTACAGTCTCAAATGGTTCAGCATGGAAATCAGATTATTTGCTAAATATTTTAACTATGCTATGTCTATTATTGTGTCTACTTCGGCTGTTTTTGTGTTGTAGAGGACTAAGGACTGCTAATCGGGATGTTCGGGTGGTGGGATTAGCGCAGGATATTCCTGTCCACATTCAGTTGCTCCTTGCCACCGGTTATGGCCTTAACAAATTCCGGATAATGCAGCAGACCATCGTTGTTGTCATCCGCAATTAGCAAAAACTTGTCTATGGCCTCTGTAAAAGTAAAATAAAATAAAATTTGCAAATGTGTATATGAATATAACCTAATAATCATCTGAATATAACATCTGATGTAATGTATTTTAAAGTTCGCAATAGTTTTCCCTAGATAAGAACATTCGTACCTATAAAGTGTTCCAGCTCATCAGTGGCATTTTGTAGGTATTCATCCCGCTCGTTGTTTTTGAAATAGTCATAGTTATGATGCATGGCAGACTGAATCATCTCGAGGCCATCGAGTGCATTATTATTGTCATTGTCATGGGCCTAGAATTATCAAGGAAATTAATAGCAGTCACTATTATATGGTAACATTTGAAAGACGTACCTTGAACATGTAGAAGATTTTCTCCTCTTCGCTCAGATCCTCCAGATTAGCCTGCACACCCATGTCCCTTAGATCATCATCTATCCGACTGAAATATAGAAATACTTTTAAAATTTGAACTACATTTTCCGTACTCCCCCTCCACTCACTGCTCCTCATGGGTGAGATGCTGGTCCACTCTTCTAGTTTCGCCCCGAGGATGGTGTGGACCCCTCTTGACCGCCAGGGTTCCATCGAAGTTCTGGCTGAAACTGGCTATGCAGATGATGAAGTTCAGCAGGTTCGATAGATTGCACATCCTATACATCGTAGAGCGATTTTTGCAGGAAATTGTTGTGTGTTGAGTTCGGTTTTTGTGTATTTTCTGCGGGGTGGGTTGGCCAGGCCACAACTGTCAACTGACAGCTGTCAAAGTGGTTAGAAATGCGCAGGCGCTGGGTTTTGTAATTCCGTGATATGTTTCCCCACCCGGTCGACTGTCAAAATTCAAACATAGCAACCTCTTTGGCAGTTGTCCCGTTGGTTCAATAGCACTAGTGGCACTATTGTTAGTTGGGAGACCCCGAGCACACCGTCGCGTTAAATAATTATTAAATTTTCCATCAGTTAAGAGAGATTTCGGTAAAATGTGTGAGCAGTACTGTGACAAGTTTGAGACCTTCAATCCGGAGGTCGAGTTTGCCAAGTTCCAAAAACGCAAGCCCATCGTGAGGACTGCCCAGCTCTACGAGAATCTGCACAAGCGGGAGGATATCAAGTGTCCCTGTGAGTTGCAGGATCTCATTACCAATAATATTTATTTCTTTAAGTAAACTCCTATCCCTAACAGACAGCTTCAAGGGCTATGGCGTGGAGACGGACTCCAATACCATGTACCGCACCTGCAACTCGGAATACGGTTACTATGCCCCCAATGCCTATACCATCCCCAAGCGTTTCTATCCACTTCCCCAGAATTTCTCCAACGAAGTCGTTCGTTTCGGCATGTATCGCAATTTCTCCCTCAACACCCATATGGATCGCACCTTCTACTAAGAATTGGCTTCAAATCAAACCACTCTCAAATTGTTTTAACCTTTATAAACAATTTTACGGATTTCTATGCCATTTTAAAATTTTATTCCGGTCAACAAGTGATGCCTATTTCGTCGGTCATTTGCCATATTAAGCAACCTTAAACAAATCCATCAATAACAAATTTTGAAATGTAAAAGAGCAAAAAAAAAGTAAATAACATTTTATAAAATCACCCAAACGTCAGTGTCTTTGATTATTATGTTAATTTAAGTTCTTTGATTAGCTTTTTGTAAAAAAAAAGAAAAAAATAAAAAATAAGCAGGGAACTCAAGACCAATGCAAACGTTAAATTAAAAGTAAACCACCAACTGCTGTGTCTTATCATCAAGCCAACAAAATGAGGTGAGCCGCATTAACATAAGTACGATAGCTGGGAATTCGGAATACCGTCCTCTAGTGAAACCAAGAAGCTACTCGATGCATTGCTATGCGACATTTACGGCAGGCAGGAACAGTTGGCCAGGCGAATGAGACGCTGCTGTAGGGATCCTGTCTTCCAGAGACGATCCTCGAAGGAGAAGAAAGGACAACTGGCCCAATTGGCCAGCGGTATGGTGGGAAATCGAGCCGCCCTGGAACGCTTGGATGTGCGCAAGCTCATCGATGTGTGTGCCATCCTGAAAGTGGAGATCCTAATGCTCGGCTATCTTTTGGAGAGGGTCCTTGTGGCCAGGGATCGCCTGCAGAGACATCAGGAGGTCCTTTGCGAGTTCGTTACCGCCGTGCTCGTCGTGGAAAGTGGTGAGTTTTGGGCTTACACACATGCGTTCTAAAAAAAATCACATGAAAATGGGTTCGAATTTGGACCCTCTCCTAAAATAAATATTTGAATGTAGATTTATAGAGAATTCAACCACCAATTCATAGAGGTAACCCTCTTCTGAATCGGGATCGAACTACCCAAGTTATGAAACTTAGAAGTGGAGTTATTCTTAAAGCCTTGTAATTTCGAAAAAACCGAACATGAAAATGGGTTAAAATTTGGACCCTCTTCTAAAAGAAATATTTAAATGTAGATTTATAGGGAATTCAACCACGACTTCAAAAAGGTATCGCACGACTAAATCGGAGTACAAATACCCAAGTTATGATATTTAGAAGTGCAGTTTTGGGTAACCATTCTGAAACCCATTGGAAATAGGGAAAAATCTGACTTGAAAATGGTCTAAAATTTTGACCCTCTTCTAAAAAAAATATTTGAATGTAGATTTATAGGGAATTCGACCACGATTTCAAAAAGGTATCGCACGTCTAAATCGGAGTGCAAATACCAAAGCTATGCTATTTAGAAGTGCAGCTTTGGGTAACCATTCTGAAACCCATTGGAAATAGGGAAAAGTCTGACTAGAAAAGAGGTTAAAATTTTGACCCTCGTTTAAAAGAACAATTTTAATGTAGATTATTAGAGAATTCCTCCACAAACTCATAAATACATCCCACGTCTAAATCGGGTTCCAACAACTCAAGTTATGAAATCTAGAAGTCCAGTTTTAGGTTCCCCTTCTGAAAGCTGTTTGAATTACGAAAAAATTGATCATGAAAATGGATAGAAAATTTGAACCTCTTTGCAATAGCTGAAGTGATGGAATCTAGAAATGCAGTTTTGGGTATATATTCTGAGAATGTATATCCTATTGCAAGATCTGGAAAAATCAAACATGAAAATCCGTTAAGAATTTGAACCTCTTAAAAGACAATGTATAATATTCGTGAATTCAAATTACTAAACTTTTCGAAAGATTCACTAGTTTTGGAACATTGTTAGCTTCTATAACTCGTACCCCCATATTTCTTCGAGTGCACCAAATGTCAAAGTGTGCGTGTGGGTGGGAGGGGGCGTGCCACTGCGCAGGCTCCCCAACTGACAGCTGGGGGCTTCGAGTGCTGGCTTTGGCCCGAGTTCTGGCCACCGCCGTCAGTCAAGTGCGGAACTCTCAGCTGTGTGGATCGTGAAGTGCGGAATCGAAGGGCCTGCAGAAGATATCAGAAAGCCCAAAGCTGAACGCTGAAAAAATCCTCGCTAGCGTCACGCACCGTGCATGTATGTGTGTGTGTGTGTGAGAGAGTGGGTGCGTGTGTGCCAGTGTTTGTGTTTGCTTTTATTGAATGAACTTTGCTGTGTCCTGTGTTCTGTGTGCGTTTTGGTGTGAGTGTATGTGTGAGCGTTGTGGGCAGGTGAAGCCCATGCGTGCAAGTGTGTGTGTGGAGGAGGCTGACTTGATGACGACACAGCGCAGCATTGAGACTGTCTGACGGGCCACACACACATGCAAATACCACAAATCTGACTTTGTGTGCGTGAGAGTACCAGAATGTGCGTGCATGTGTGTGTGTGGACCAGCGGTTTGAAATAACAAACGTGTAGAACTGGCCTCCACAAGCATTTCTGCCTGTCTTATCTATGTTTTTATACCATACCCATCCCCATACCCCTTTTCTACTTTCTAATAACACTCTTTTCCCCCTCTTTGCGTGTGTGTGTGTGCTTGTGTTACCCTTGATATTCGTCGACCAAAATACCAATGGTGGCTAGAAAAACAAGGGCCATAAAAATGAGCGCGTGCAAAAGTAGCGTGCCATTACCATGTTTCTTATTTATTTATTATTTAACTAATGCAGGAGAGCAAGGAAATACACTTTCTAATTGAATTCGAAGGAATAACAGCAGCGTGCGGAATGGAATAACAGAATTTTATCGATCCGGTGTGAAACGAGCCTAGGAAAATGCAATTAAAAACTGCACTCGCCTAAAAGCATGCAATCGAAAATTTCATTAAGTCCAACGGACTGTTTTAATGCGTTTTCCTGGTTCATTTCCCGGTGGCTCTATTGGTAATATCCCCTCTATCCTCCCATTTTGATGGCCTGCCTCTCACATGAGGTGCCTCTTTTGGCCCTGACTGATATGGCCAGCTATTGTTGCTGCCATTGTTGAGCAGTGTACGAGTGTGATTCATGTCACGCTCTCACACTCGCCCAGCGAAAAGGCTCACGAACTGGCTTTGTTTGGCTACAAAAAAAAACAGTTGATTGGGGATTGCATAACTACAAAGAATGTCCCACAAAAAAAGTAAGCATGGCAGAAGAGTTGAAGGCCGCGCGGCTTTAATCCACATATATCTGGGCCAAACCATTCAAATCCATTATGCAGCAGTTGAGCAACTTTGATGAGTGGGTGAGTGGCTAACGTTTAGCAGGAGGAAAATTGCCCTGAAACAGCAAAGTTCAAAGAATCTTTAGATACCAGTTCGTAATTAATGGCCACAAATCTTCTTTGGCCTTACGGCTATTTTCTTAATTAAATGCCACGTGGCTTCAAGCTCGGTTTACGCTTCCTTTTAAGAACAAAAGCAACCTGCCCCAATCCTTAGTCTTAGGCTTGTTATTAAACGTCAAAGGCAGCTCGTGCAGAATTATACTTTTAAATGCTATGAAATTTTAAAACGAAACGAATTCCGGCTCAAAGGTAATTACCTGGCCAAAATGGGGGGAGCCGTGGCAAACGTAAGCAGGAAAGTGGGTCAAGAAAGTGGCCAGTAAGGCGGGGGATCGATGAGTGCACCACAAGTCGTGCAATGGCATGGCTACACTAAAAAAGATTATCAATTTATTAAGGATACTATATTATCTATATAAAGCTATCTAATCGAAACTAAGAATCAATACATAGCAAAATTCAATTAAATGAGACTGGTTATTTAAAAGTATATTTTCTTAAATGTTAGTTCTAAATTTTAAGAGGAAGATTGAATATTCCTAAGCCTATAAGTATGTTTGTAAAGATTCCATAGTAATATTTTTTTAAGTAGATTCTTTATAAACCCTTACTATTTTCCAAGTGTAACATTAAGATACTGCTTAGTGTCCGCTTTTCTAGACTTTTTCCCCCAAGTCAGCAGTCACCTGGCCAAGCGTTGGGAACTGGGTCTGCAGTTGCTTAGTTGTCAAGGTTTTCCCTCTATATTTTTTCCTCCACGAAAGTGTGTGTGTGAGTTGAATGTTTTTTGAGCTCTTCTGCAAGCCGAACGAAATAGTTTTCAATGACATTTGAGCCACGGCGTTTGGTCTCTCTGTGTGTGTGTGTGTTTGCTTGTGAGCCAGTCTACGGTCTTGGCCAAATTATATAACTTCAGCATGCCACAAATACCTATGCAAATAGCTCTATATAACCCAATACGTATTTATAGATGTGCATGCCTAAGTGTAAGTGTCTCTCTGTGTATTCATGTAAATCTTGTGTAAATAATACAATAGGCCACAGCAACAACAACAGCAACTACAACTACTACTACTACAAGAACAACAAGTCCAACGTAAAAGCAAAAATGTAAAACCATAAATAGAGAATCCCCACAACAAAAACTACTACTACTTCTACTACTAACTGCAGCAGCAACAACAAAGAGCCGCTGCGAGCAGTGGCAGAAATCATAGCATACCGTCAGGCGCACGTTAACTTAACATGGGTAACTATGCCAAGCCAGCACAAATCAGCTAACAACACTCATTCTCTCTACCTCTCTGTGTGTGTGTGTGTACATATATTATTAATTTTAATCAATTAACATACTTCTCTCAATCCTATTAACTGTCGATCGATGTCTTTTAACTTGTGTGTTTTTGTTTTAGCGCGCCTCAAAGCGAACATTACCAATTTGCAATCTGCCTTCGATCTTTTGCTCGTTTTTGAAACAAAGACTTAACTCTCGCTCTCTCTCTATCTCTCTTTCTTTACCTTATTTGTTTAACAACGTTTAAAACCAACCAAATAACAACGAAAAGGTAATTTATGCAAAGGAAGTTCAATGGAAAAGCTGATGCATATATCATAAAGTATTCGTTGGGCACACATTCGCTAGGGTGGACCTCTAAATGCAAAGCTTTACTGAAAAAAAACATATCCATTAATGATTACAATATTAACTTTTGTTAAGAAAAACTCAAAATTGCTTAATAGCTTTAAAATAACAATTAAAATAAAATATTACTAACTATCGCAGCTTGCTTTACAAAATGCTGTTTTAAGATTATTACTTCTTTATATGGCATATATTCAAAAATACAAGATGCTTACTTACAATATTTTACAGCATACTTAAAGGGCCTTTTCTCATCTGCTTTAAAATTAAAAGAAGGTTTTAACATACAAATTTTCCAACGTTTTCTAGATATTAAACCCATTTTAGTAAAACGAACTAAGAACTCTAAGTCCCATTAACAATTACTTTAAAAACCATTGTACTTTTATGGAAGGAAAATGTGCAGGAGATATTTAAAATACAAATCCCGTTTAAATATGTATATTATGTAAATATATATTTAGTAATTAGAAAAAAACCGAGGTCCGCTCTAATGCACACATTCAAATACATCGCACATCCACACAGTCGAGGCGCACATATACATATACATATACCTATACCCACGTATTACTCATGGTAATCGCGCACAATTCTAATTTTGGCGGCCGCTTGTAATTAACATTTGCATTTTCGTAGGGCAAGGGCTTTCCCCCTTGCTGGGCATAAATTTCCATTATTTCGCCATGTCGCAGTGTTGGAGGCGTTCGACCCCATTTAACCCATTTATATTATATATTCCATCCATCCCCGGGCAGTGCACACTTAATTTGAATTTTCCGCTGCCGTTATTCGTTACATAGATTCCCAGTTTGGAAAATTTTTACACTTTTCGATAGAGCGATTATCCTGTAAGCCCCATGACACCCCATACACACACCCACATACGTACATCTGTTGCATGTTGGCCAAGTTGTTGCTGTTGTCTTTCCTGGTTTTTTCCCACCTATTTCAGCAATCATTTTACACTCTGCTGACTTCGCTTGTACGTGTTTGCCGTGTTTCCTGTTTTGGCTTTTGATTTTTTTGCTCCTCAATATCACCGACACCTCTCACATTTTGCCATCAAATTGTAATTACTGCGTAGCAGTTTACTTTATACTGACAGAGCGGTTTATTTATGACGCCCATCGCGTTTATGGCGATGCAAAGTGACACGAGCTGCTGTGTGTGTGGGCGGCTAAAAAGTGTGAAGGATCCGGATCCTGGAGGACTTTGGACATGTGCACACACGTGTGCCGGTTCCGAGGGGTTCCAGAAATCCGAGCTCACGTTGAGCGGATGATAACGCAATCTGCTTATCCGGCCTGTCAGAAAGATTCCCATGGATTTCTGACTGACTTGGCTCCTAAACATTGATTGATAAGTAAATTGCATCCACTTTGTTGCAAAATGTATCCTTGTTATTTTACACATCAATGAAAAGTCAAGTTATTTAACGACTTATTTTGGGGGAGAAGAATCCGTAATATTGCCATATCCATAGTATGAAACCACAATATTGCTTAAACAAAATTTTTAAAAAATCTTGTAACAAAGATTTTAAAAGCCAAATAATACTTTTAAAGAGCTTAGAAACCAAGTATCCCATTGAATATTATTGGGGTTCGTATAGTTAATGGTTATCAAAAATCGAAACCTGAAAATCTTTGTGTAAAAAGCATTTTCGTGGCCAGATTGGAAAAACAAATTCAGTATTTTCCTGGAAAATTGCATTACCATAGCATGGTATTTCTCCCCTACAAGCTTAAATTTTGTTATATTCCTATTCTGGAACCTCCAACAGTTTCTTTATGTAACAATAAAATTAAGCATTCTTACATCAGATCGAGAGAGATTTCTGCACGAAAGACTTCTGAAAAATAAGCCCCAAACAATGTTCCGACTTGCATATTTAAATACCATCTTGATTGGGCACAAACTCATTTTCTTAAAAGTTTTAAAGTAATACCAAGGACAAACGGGGCTGTCACAGGCACGGATCCCTTATCAAACTTACGAAGCTTGCAGGAGCAGATGGAAAAATTGAGAGAATAATAAAAAAACTTGCTTGCTTTTGGCAGGACACAATGTTCAGTTAAGTTTTGAGGGCCGGGCTTATTGGAATTGACAGGCATTTTCAGTCCGCGTGATGCAAATTGATTGCCTTTGCCTTTTCCAATACCAGAACATAAAAAGCGAGACCCACGTGGCGTATGAGTAATGCTGTTGGGACGTAATTCGGAAATTTAATCAAAGTTAAATAGAGGACAAAACGGGTGTCGGGATTGCGAGAAATGCAACGGCAGCAACAACAAGTGTTCCTCGGGGAGCCATTATGTAAGCCATCAAAAGCAGCATTTACCCATCGCCATTTTCCCCCATTTTCCTTTGGCTTTCCCTCGCCTTTCCCTTTGCATATTCGCCCTGGCGAAGTGCTTTTGTCTGGAACCGCGTGATAAAGGCGAATCGCAATCGCTAAGCCGATAATCATTGGGGTTAAGCATTGCAATAGTTTAATGAACCAGCAAGCATTAAAGTTATCATCTGGATGGCCGTTGACTGGGGAATTCATTAGCAGCCTCACGCCCGAATTGACACTAATGGCTCAGAACGTGCCTGGGCATATAAAAGCCCCGCTGGCCAACTGCATCGTAGATTGGGCCAGAAGAAAGTAATCTCAGACACACAGACGCTGCTGCCCAGAGTTCCCTTCTTCCATTTTTGCAACACTTTTGGGGTCATGCAATCCCGAGGGATAAATGTGGTTTAAGTACACAGCTTTGACGGCTTTCACAGAGAGAAACTGAACGGGGACATGGGCATTACATAAAGTAAAGTAAATCTCTTTTAAACTGCTAAAAAGGTGGCCAAAAGGGAAGCTGAGTTTAAGATAAGTTTAGTGCCGCGTACTAAAAACTTTTACGGTGGTATAAGGTTATAACAGCACTGGAAGAAAAATTGAAAAATTCCCTTTATTACATTTTTTATAGTCGTACTTACTAAAGTACCTACTGACCTTGGGTGGTTTTGTTTGTATAATCTTAAGTATAATCTAATATTGGAACTTTTATTACCAAAAGATACCTTAAGTATTTGGAAAATGGCTTTATAAGTTCTATATAATCAAAGAACATTTATTTTATTTAATATTTCTTGTTTTACCCACAGTTCAAATGTACTTTATTGTACATATTGCTGTTTTATAATAACTCTATAAATACGAAAAATATGTATACATTAAATATATTCCTTTTTAATATCTTCATGTACCTTGGATAGAGATTAAACCTTGAAAATGAAAATTTTAAGTAATAGTCCATAATCCCCAATTCGGCAATAAGTTAGGAATCATATTTTCTTGAGATAACGTTCATGATTTAAGACACATTATTTATGCTAGCGCCATAGCCGTAAATATTTCGCATTTCTTTCGTTTCCTCTCCACCTATATAAATAGCTGACAGGACCCATATTCTTTTGGCTCATTAAACCAACTGTCATGCCCTGCGTGTTTTTATGGTTGAGTACACAAAACACACACATCTCACAGCAAGTCACAAAAAACAACAGAGCACGCACGTGATGCTGGCCAAAGTTTAGTTCTGGTCAAGGCCCAAAGATTCAGCCAAAATGTGGGCTAACTATCGCAGCCTTGACTAGGCAAACACTCGTAGGATCCCCAGTCCTTGGGCAGGCGCATTTAAAATAATTACACTCACTTGCATACTGTAAAGAATGGGGCTCCTCATTGTCAGTCGCACATAAATCTTCCATGGAAAATGCACTTGAAGTGAAGAAAAAATATGAGCCCCCCAAAGGCGGCCCGTCCAGCCACTGGCCATAAAGAATGTTTTTACGTCCGGCGCCTAATTGGTGCGAAGTTAGGAACCCCATTACATAAGAGTCGGCGCAATTAGTATTTCATTAGCCTGGGTCGGGGTCTCCTGATGTCTGGTCCTCCAGTCTCCCAGAGGCACGAATCTTCGCTCCTCCTACCAGGATACTCTCCCATTTGTCGAGAGTAAACAAGCCCATGTTTGTTCAGCTTTAACTTGGGCAACGGCAATTTCTAACTGCCTCTTCATTAAACAAATGCCTTTCTCCGAAGGAGTAAACATCTCGGGTATAGCCTACTTACATCCCATACTTATACGTTGAGATTTGCATAAGCATGTAAATAAGCGATGGAAGGCAAAGGAAAAAATCCCGAGCAATCATGTTTATCAAATACAGTTTAGCTTGCCTAACAAGAACTTTCTTTGAACAAAGAATTTCGAAGCAAAATTATACAATAATTTCTTGATACGATCCGATAGAAGAAGATTAGACAACATTATTATAACATTAGATAGCACTTAAAAGTCAACTAATTTTATCCAAAATTAAATTTACAGAATTAGAACTGTAAAAGTAATCCAAAGGCTTTTAAGTAAGCGTATTATTTTTGCCAAAATATTCATACTAATGGATTCCCCTCATTTTTGGCTGTCAGCTTTCAAGGCCAACAATAACACCAATTTCCCGAGGAATTCTTAAGAAACGGAAATTGTACTCCCGCACATTCCATTCCCTTTTTATTTCTCACCCAAAGCTTTGCTATAAACCGGGGAAGAAACCAGATTTTAGGTTTTTAAATTGAATCACGTTCCGCTCGAACAGCATGCGCTTGATAAGCTGGAAACACAGGGCAGAAGTAAAAATAGAACGGAAATCAAATTATCAAACATAAAGTGCGATTCTATAGCCCACACGAGAGGGCATTGAAATTCAAAAGCTGGGGAAAAATACAACAACAAAAAGGAAATATCGATTCGTGGGGAAAACTTAAACGTAAGCCAATCTGAATTTATGCTGCTATCATAAAGTCAGCGAAAGACATCATATTTTTATTAACTTGACCTTTAGGGCTGAGTATGTGGGTGGCAGCTGTCTACAAGCCTAGAAGCCGATAAAGTTGAGCCACGAGGATATTGTTCTCATGTCGGGGTGTCAGCATCGCAGGGCTAACTATGTTTTACTTGGAATGCCGGGACACATGTGTACCCACCCAGCCACCCACTCACATATCCTCAGCACCCGCAACACACTTGTCAACTGAAATAAATGTCATGGTCAATTTAACACAAAGACAGAAACTCGTGTTTTTGTGTGGGCCGCTTTTCAATGGAGTGTCCTGTGTCACTTAGACTTTACAGGGTAAAAAATGCATTAGATTTGATGATCATTTTGATGAAATTCAGTACATATTTGCCATCTTGCTTTCTTCTCTCTTTTTCTACTTCGGAGAGTTTTAAATATTGCTCTCTCACTCTTACCCAGAGTAATCTCTCTCTTTTCACGGGCTTAGAGTGTTTTCAAAGAGAGGAAATACAAAAAAATACATTCCATAATGTCAAACTTACCTTATTCGATGGTAAAAATGATCCTTCATAAATGTACGTGTTTTTTTTCTGTGTTGGCTTTCCTTTGCTTTGGTTCTAGCCGCCTTCACTGATGTTTTCTCGCAAGGATGTGGTCACGACACAAATCGCATCCTACCACAACTGCATGCCGCATTTTTGTCGCTCTCAAGTTAATTCGCCCATTTCGCAGACATTTCGCAACCATTCGGATCAGAGCACTTGATTGATTAAGTGTCTTAGCTATATGTACGAAATATTCAAATATAAATATATACATCTTTTGTATTCTTTCTTCTTCTCTCTTTTGCGCGCTCTTACAAAAACGTATATTGTGCCACAACTACCAACTCTATATTATTATATTACGAATATATCTATATATGTAAAGTTTGCATACTGCACGGATATTGTAAGTGCTAAGGATCCAGCAGCCAAGAGCCCAGAATCCTATTTGAATAGACCAACTAACCTAACCTAAACCGAACCGCCCGACCGAAAGTATGCTTTATAAGAATTTTGCTTAACTTTTGCAGACGATGCACAGCCTAAAATGCGTTTTAGCCTCTCACCACCGCCACAGAAAGCCATTAGCAGTGCCCGCCTAACCTCGCCCACCAAAAACAGCCGCAGCACCACCATCAACCCCAGCACCACCATCGTACCCGGCAGCAACAATAGAAGCCCCATCAGCGGCAGCAGCAGCTTCACCACCATGCTGACCCGCAATGGCGGAGGTCACGGGACCAGCCCCACCGCCTCCGCCTCCGCCGCCTCCTCGGCCACACCCACCACCTCTGCGGATGATGAGGCCACCTCGGATTACAACCAGTGGTTGCATGCCATGAAGCTGGTGGCCCGACTGCCCGGAGGCACTCCACCCGAGTTCCGACGCAAGGTGAGATTCAAACCTGTGCTTCTGCTCTGATTTTGCCAGCATAAGGTCACAGGATATGGGGGAAAATATTTGTTTTATTTATTATTATGAACTAGATAGCTAACATACGATGTGACGTATCACATACTATATATAGAACCTTCAATCAGTGGTTGCCAGCAGAAACAAAAGGCTACCACATGGGTTATAAGATGTTATAAGGTGTTTCTGCCGGAGCTCTGCCGCACTTTAAATCTCTCACACAACGAAGTTCCAACATGTCTGTGCATGTCTATGCATGTCTATGCTCTGCTTCTGCTGATGACCACTGCTTTAAGTTGCGCTTAAAGATTTCACTATTCTTCTTGAAAATTAAGTAGCATATTAATATATAAAGATCTTTAGAAGTAGTCTAGTCAATTAATGTTCATTAGATTTATGTCATTCCACTTCGAACTTTTTTACTTAACAAGGATATAATGGTTAATTGTTTTCATAAAGTTAAAATTAGCTTTGAATATTTACTTTATTTTTTAATTTAACCCTTTCATTCATTAGCTGTGGCTCTCGCTGGCGGACAAGTACCTCAAGTCGAAGAACGTGGACTGGGCGCAGCAGCGGGAGAAGTGCTTCTGCGAGGAGTGGCGCGAGGACGACGAGGAGCTGGGCATCCAAATCGTCAAGGTGAGCTCCAGTCACGAACAACAAGCTGAATCCCCCCAGAGCATCATAAATGTTTCGCCCCCGTTTAGGATCTGCATCGCACTGGCTCGAATCTGTGCACCGGCCCCGCGGGCTCCATTAACCAGGCCAAGTTGAAGCGCATCCTGCTCGGCTATGCCCGCTACAACCCCGAGGTGGGCTATTGCCAGGTGAGTGCTCCTTGAAGGATCCTTGTCTGCTGCCTAACAATACAATGCTTCTCATTCAGGGCTTCAACATGCTGGGAGCCCTCATTTTGCAGGTGATGGACAAGGAGGAGGAGGAGTCCATGAAGGTCATGATCTATCTGGTGGAGGGCGTCCTGCCCACGGGCTATTTCTACGGATCGATGGGCGGTCTGCAGGCGGACATGGGTGTCTTTCGGGAGCTGATGCAGACGCGACTGCCACGCCTGGCGAAGCACCTGCAGCGCCTCCAGGGACCCGTGGAGAACGCCTTCGAGCCGCCGCTGACCAACGTCTTCACCATGCAGTGGTTCCTCACCATGTTCTGCACCTGCCTGCCCATGTCCTGCGTCCTGCGCGTCTGGGACCTCGTCCTCATCGAGGGCAGCGACGTCCTCCTCCGCACCGCCCTCGTCCTCTGGAGTTTGCTGGAAGAGTAAGTCTCACAAATGCAACATATAATAATGATACCTACGTCTAAAACATTAAAGCAAGGTAAAAAAAACGAACAGAATTCGTTGATTTAATCAATTTAGTGATTTAACGCTACAGATTTACTCGTTCTGGTTCTGCATTGATTAATAGATTTGAGTGGACAGTTTTATTTATAGATAAGTTTCAAGGGAATCCATAAATTTTTAAAATTTACAGGTGTTTATTTAGATATATCCTATTTGAAATTAGATACGCACTACTTATAATTTACCTTCCTATCTTTTATAATAATAAATCTTATTTTGAAAAGGCAAATTGCCATAACCTAACTACTTACCATTTTATTATTATTTAAATCTAAAACTTTATCGATGAAGCAAGCCAATGCAATCCATTTGTAGAGCATTAATCCTTATTACGGTCCGTAATTATAATTGAATGCAAAACTACCGAAACAACGATTATATCAATGTGCATCCACCCAATGTCTGTGTAGAATGTTTGGGTTGGGTTTTTGGGTGGGTGGTGGTTGGGCAAACAATCGCCGCAATGCAAGGCGGGAATTTGTGTCAAGGCTGCTGGAATTTTGGCAAGAGTTTTTCTTGGTTGCCAAATGCAATTTAGCAATTCCGCTCGGTCCTTACCCGCCAGGAATTTCATGTTCAGACGTTGTGGAACTTTTTATGGTTCTGTGGAAAACAAGTTTAGTAAATATGAACAAAAAATAAAGAAACGAACGACATTGAACTATGCTAAATGTAAGCTAGAAATGGATTTTAGGAGGGGAGGCCAAGGTCAGGAATCGACTGGGGAAATTGAAAGGATAAGCTCTTGAACAGGGATTTGTATGAGGTTTTAAACAAAACTTAATGGTGTTTTTTGTTACCCAACAAATCTAATGAATTGTTTATGGTATCCTTTTAAGACGTGTGCTTAGTGTCAGATCTGCGGATGAGTTCTATGGCAAGATGGGCTCCTATTCCAGTGAGCTGCTCAATGGTCATCTGGTGGACTCTAACGGCTTAATAGAGCGAGTGGTTAAACTAGGACCCATAGCGGATTTGCGACAGCTCAGAGATAAGCACCTCTACAACATAGCCCCACTGCGTCACAAACAGGGATTGCAGTAAGTACTAGAAAATATATATGAAATATTAAGATACAATATCTTTTTCTTCCAAAGGCTCTACTATGACGAGGAGGACACCCACTCGGATGAGGAGCGCATGGCGGTGGCCACCGTTTTTGGCTTGAATTGGGGCAGACGTGGATCTGTGGGTCCGGCGGCGGCGGCGGCGACGGCGGGCAAACAGCAGGTGGAGCAGAAGGACCGCTTGGCCCTGGACATTTCCCTACTGAAGAAGCAGTACGATCGACTGAGGGAACGCCAGAAGCAGGCCCATGTCATCCTAACCACAGCCTGCTCCACGGCAGCCAGGCAGGGATCCAGTGGTCCAGCGAGTAGTGCCCAGTCGTCGGTGCCGGTAAACCAGTTGCTCCTCGGTCGCCCGGCCATTGTGACCAACAAGGGCAAGCGGGTTGGTGCCCCCTTGGGGGCCATTCCACCCGCTCGAAAGCCATCCCTCCCAGCGGTTCTGCACACCAAGCCGGCTGCAGAGAAGCAGCTGCGACGTGGGGAGACCCTGCTCTGGCGGGACACCGACCCGAGTCGAAGGCGTCGGGACAGTCTGACCTGGAAGGAGATCAAGGCAGATCGGGCGGCCATGGTGCGAGAGGGCGTTGATGTGAGCTCTGTGAAGACCCAAAAGCTGCGCACCAGATTAGGGAAGAGCGACAGCTCCTCCTACAGCGAGGATAGCGATGGAGAACAGGACGCTGGACCCGTTGAAGGAGGAGGAGGAGGAGGATCCAGCACGGACACCAGCCTCTGCGACGATGATGATCCCAAGTCCATGGAGAAGAGTCCCAAGCACAAGGCGAAGCTGGCTCGCAAGCTCAGGGAGCAGAAGCAGCTGAGCAGTTCCAGGGACACAAGCTTGGAGCGACAGAGACCCAAGTCCTGGGCTCCCAGCAGCAATGAGATACCCTTCATGCTCATGGGCACGGATAGTGGCGATGAGAAGGAGCCGGTGGTTAGGGAGGAACCAGAAACGGAACTGGAAACGGGAGATCCTGCAGAGGATAGTGCCACTGAAAGCGGTCGTTTTGGCTTTGACAAGGAATTTGATACGGTCAGCTACAAGATGGAGCCACTAAAAATCCACAGTGATCCGGAATTCCCAGACCTAACTTCCACAAGTCCCTTACCCACGCCCAAGGAAAAAAGTGAAGCTGAAGAGGACCTGCTGGAGGAGCAAAAGCCCTTCGATTTGAGCGATAATGGAGTGACCAATCAGTATTTCGAAAGGGTCAACAGCGTGGAGCGTCCCAATCGCCTGGAGCTCTCCTACTCACTCAACGAGGAGGAGACGGATACCAGTGCGATTTACCTGGAGGAAAGGGAGAAGATCGAGGGGCATAGTGGCGATAGGGAATACCAGTCGCTGCCTCCATTTTTTCCTAGAGAGGAAGATGATAGTAGTGTACAGGTTGCAGGCAAAGTGCCACAGATTCGAGATGACAACATTCCTGGCGAAAATAAGGATGACTATAAAGAGCTCCTAAACATGACGATAGAGGAAAAAGCTGGCTATAAACCACCTCCACCCACAGCCAGTAGTTTGAGTAATGCCAGCCGGAAAAGAAGGGATCCGCGACGAAAAACGCTGACCCGCTCATCGACCATTGAGATTGAGGAGCGATATCAGGCTCTCGAGCGAAGGATCAGTCAGGATCAGCCGAATGGTGGGGATAGGCAGTCCAAGTACATCCCAAGCACAGCTGCTCTGGAGGAGCGGTTTAACACCCTCGAGAAACAACTAAGTGCCGAGAAGCAGCGGAAGGAGATGGCCGAAATGGAAGCTGACTTTCCCAATAAATCCGAGCGTATTCCCTCCACCGCCGATCTCGAAACGCGCTTCAATTCCTTAACAAAACAAATGAGTTCCAGCGAGTCTAGTTCCAAAGCTCCTATTGATCTTAGAGACGAAGAGTCGCCAAGTGGCAATAGCTCTAAAGAGCAAAAGGATAGTGAAAAAACCAGCAAGCTGCATAAATCCGAGGAGACTCAATCTGATTCTAATGAAACTACAGGAAAAGCAGAAACCAGCGATACCAAAGAAAAACCAAGCGAAGAAAAGGAGGCAGAAGAAAAGCCGCGCCTTAAAAAACTTCCATCAACTGCTGAGTTGGAAGATCGTTTTAATGCCCTAGAACGCAAAATGAGTGTACAGAAGAGCAGCCCATCCAAAACTAAGAAGGAACCACCCGATGAAGAAGAAACAAAGGCTACAAAAGAGCCACAAGAGTCTGAAAAGCTAAAGGATAAGCCAACTACTCCTGCGAAGGATCCCAAAGATGGCGGAGAGAAAAAATCCGAAACTAAGGAGGTTTCTAAATCGCCAACAAAAAACCAAGACGAAAAAGTAAAAGCTGAATCTCCAAAATGTGAAGAAAAATCTACAAAAGAAAGCCCAAAATCAACAGAGGAGGCCCACAAATCAGTAACTTCACCGGCTAGTAAAGAAAAGGTTTCGAAATCGGATTCAGAAAATGCAGAAGCTCCTAAGAAATCCGATGCTAAACCTAATGAACCCAAAAAGGCAGAAACTGGTCAGTCCCCCAAAAAAAGTGATTCCAAAAAGGCAGAAACCAGTAAGACAACGGTTTCAGAAACTTCCGAGTCCGATAATAAGTCTTCTAAAGACAAATCAACTGTTAAAGATGAAGAATCTGTAAAGACTCCTCGAAAATCTCCACCCTCCACAGAGGAACTAGAAAAACGTTTCAATGCCTTGGAGAAACAGATGAGCACCACCAATATGGAAACAACTAAAGAGGGTGAGCAATCAAAGTCATTGGATAAAAATAAAACCTCAAAAGAAGAAGAAAAACCCCAAAAGTCTATTAAATCTTTCGACGATAAGATTAAAGAAGTTAATATCGCAATAGAAAAAGAGCAGAAGAAAGTTGAGACGGATGATCAAGGTGAAAAGATGGATAAAAAAGTTGAAGAAAACAAAAAACTGGAAGAGCTGAAAAAAAATGAAGAATCCTCCGAGTCACCAGAAGAAAGTCTGCAAAAGGGCAAGAGCCAGAGAAGGGCTTCCGAACCGCCTTCTACGGAAGATCTGGAGAAGCGTTACGAAACCCTGAAGCGCCGCATGAGCAGTAAACAGCATTTAGGCACTACAAGCGAAACAGTTGATGAAGCTCTCGAGCGGATCCAACAGGAGGTGATCTCGGAGGCAGTGGAGGAGAAGAAGCCACCACCCTCGACGGAGGATCTGGAGAGTCGTTTTGAGGCGCTACACGGGGGTGAGAAGAAGAAAGAGTCTACTGCAACAACCACCACCAAACCCAAACATGTAGATGTGGCCATCGAGGCGCATATTCCAGATCCACCACCACCGCCTCCACCTCCCAAAGATCGTCCACCCATCCTGGCCGAACCCGTTCTTCACCAGCAACAGGCTCTGATCGAGGAGCTGCAGAGCAAGATGCGAGGCCAATCACCCGGCGAGGAGAACCTCAAGCCCAGCGAGATCAACCCACAGAGGCAGCGGCAGAGGAATCTCCTCCAGCGACCCACGCCCATGGGCGATGACACATCGGAAGCACCTGCAAACACGGCTTACTACAGAGCGGCAAACCAAGAGCCATGGCAGCAGCGCATGGTGCGTCGGTTCTCTGATTTACCCTCCCGGGCCGATCTGGAGAACCGATTGCAGTTCCTGGAGAGGCAACTCTACAAGAAGTTCTACAAGCAGCGCTGTGCAAGTGATTCCGAAGTTGCATCGAGGGTCAAACTACCGCCCGATGACCAGCCCAGCACATCCCGCCAAGCGAAGGTCCTGGAGGCCGAGGGTCAGCTGGAGCAGCGTGTCCTGGCGCTGGAGAAGCAGCTGAGCGAGAACAGTCTCAAGTTGCTGGAGGCGATGAGGGAGCGCCAGAGGTCTGCGGCTCCCAGGAGCGATGATAGTGGCTCCCCAAGGTGCCTCAGCACGGAGACCATTGACGCCACCGGCAAGGAGCTAGTTAGATATACCCAGAACATTGGTGAACTTGAGGAACTGGACGCCCACAAGCCCATCAACATTAGCATCAACATCAAAATGCTGGTCAATAAGGATGGTGACTCCAAGCAACCCAAAGGTGAGTCCAAGCCCACCACAGAGGATCTCACTCGTCGCCTGGAGCAGTTAGAGCAGCAATTATTGGAGGAGAGGGCCAAGAATGGTTCAATCCCACCTGAAAATGAAGTCCTAGAGGAGAAGCCACCAAAGCTAGAGGAAAGTGACGACTGTAAGAAGCAGGAGAAGAACTGCCATAATCAGCATGTGAAAAGTGACGAAGCTGAGAAATTGGAGGTTCCCCTTGAGGGAAAAATCGAACCGGAAGCTGTCAAGGAAACCAAAACCATGGAAAATGAGGAGAAAGCTCAGGCTCGCGCCAAAGAGGTGGTTACAGAAAACCCTGTCAAAGGGGAGAAGGCACTGGTGGATGAAAACCCAGCCAAGAAAACAGGTTTGGTAAAACAAAAATCTTCTATTCAAGAAAAACCAGTAGAAGATACTAAAAAGAAATCAGAAACCAAAGCTGAAGTCGCCCAGGAAACATCCTCCCAAGTTAAACCTCTTTCAACTGAGAAGGAAGCATCCTCAACTAAAGATCCTAAACCTAAAGAGGCTCCGTCAGAAGAGAAGACCACCAAAAAGGAAACTGAAAAGCTTAAGAAGGAGGAATCCGAATCTAAGAAAGATCTCCCCACAAACAAAACAGAAAATTCGAAATCGGAAATTTTAAAATCAAAGGAAAACACGTCAGCAGTGGTTACCACCAGCAAAGAATCAACCAAAGAACTGCCAGAAAAAAAGGAAGCTTCCAAGGAACATCCCGATAAAATGGTAATCAATGCCACCGATGTGGGACCCATGGATCCCAACAGCAAGACAGTGGTACTCCTGATGGACAACGAACCCAGAGCTTCGAAGGTTAGGAGATTGACTAGAGCCAACACTGAAGAACTCGAGGATCTTTTCCAGGCCCTGGAGAAACAGCTCAACGATCGGAATCTCATCAAATCCGAGGATGGTCGCCTGATACGAGTGGAAAGCAAGCCAAGTGCCGAGCAACAAGAGCAGACTCAGGCTATTAGTGATCTCACCAAGGAAATCGAGGATTTCACGAGCGCCGAACCTGAGGAGAAAGAGAAGCCCAAGGAGGTGGAGAAAGCGAAGAAAGCTGAGCCAGAAGAACCTGAGGAGGACTACGATTGGGGACCCAACACTGTGAAACATCATCTGAAACGCAAAACCGTTTACCTGCCCTCCACCAAAGAGTTAGAATCTCGCTTCCGCTCCCTGGAACGTCAAATCAAACTGCTCGAGGATGTGGAGAAGATTGATGTGGAGCAGCGATTGGTTGAAATTGAAAGGAAAATCAAACTGCAGTACTCGCTTTCCCACGAAAAGGATTTGAATAAGTATCTAGAGCTGTGCGAGGGTAAGGGTCTGGATGATGAGGAAACATTGCCCTTGGAAACCCCCACGAAAGCTGAGGAAACTGGAACAGTCAGAGATAGATCCAGAAGTCCTGGTCGCAAGGTGGTCACCAAATCTCCGTACACTTCCCCTTCCCGAAAAGCCGCTACTAAATCTCCTTATGTTTCTCCCACTCGAAAGAATGCCACCAAGTCCCCATATGTGTCTCCTTCCCGAAAGGCTACCAAATCACCCTATACTTCCCCCTCCAGACTGCGCCAGAGATCACCTTCTCCAACTAGATCCCCCGAGAGGAAATCTAAGAGAAGTCCCTACACTTCCCCAGCCCGTCGCAAGCCACATCCCAACGATCTCCCAATCTCCGATGATCTGGAGTACAAGTATCGGGTACTCGATTTGGTAAGATCTAAGTCCAAGGAGAACTTGGCCAAGCGAATGCATGATCCCAATAGAAAACCAGCTATTCATCCCCTGGAAATGATTCTAAGTCCCAGCCCGGATGACAGTGCCATACCCACAACGGGTGAGCTGGAGCACAGGATACGAGTGCTGGATGGGAAGCTCAAGTCGCCAGCGAAAACCCGATCTAAACCTCGCTCACGATCGCCTACCATCGAGGACATAAAACGTCAGAAGATGCGGGATGAGCAAAAGCCCAGGACACCTGTACACAATCTAGAGAGAATAGTCAGTTCTCCAGGTCGACCAGAACCACCCACTGCCGAGGAGCTCGAGGAGCGCATTCGCATTCTGGAGCAGGAACACAAGTTCGACTTCAAGACCCAGAAGGACTACAGGGCATTTAATCAAAAGCTCAAGGACGTCATCTCCCCGTCGCTCTCCTTCGAGGAATTCCGGGCAGCCAAGTCCCGGGAGCAGAGCCCCCGCCGCCATGGAGCCACCACGCCCAAGTCTGCCCTCCGTCGTGACGATTTCGATGAGCCGTACTCCAGCAGTACCACCACCCACTACCGCCCCACCAGCCCCAAAGTCATTCGGTTCCGGGACGAAGACGTCGACGAAGATGAGGACCGATTCGAGGAGGAAGCACCCAGGCCGAAGTCCCGACAGACCAGCGATCGAATGGTGGGCAGCACTAATGACGTTTTGGACTGTTTAGCGGAGAATACTAAAATTCTTGAACGTATTCTTAAGAAGACTCTTGCAGATCAGCCATCGGCCACTCGCAGCTACGCCAGCAGCTCGGAGGGTCTGGATGCCTTGGGTAGTCGTCTAATGAGGGTAAGTGGGGGCTATGACGATCAAAGTTTATAAGACCGGTTCCGATTCTTGTATACAGAACACCCCAGAGTCCTTTAATACCTATAAAACATAATACCACAAAGATCTGAAATCTATTTATGTGACATATTGTATACCTTCTAGGAAACCTCCCCGATTACCCGAACCGGAACCCACACGGGCGTACCGCTGCGAACGGGGGAGAACATCAACGACCGCCTGAGTTCGATCAAGAACTCCATCAAATCGATCGACACGTTGTGCGAGGAGAAGCCCTACCAGAAGGAGAAGTGCCAGCGGTACATCGACTCCCTTTTCTCGGACTCGCTGCACTTTGCCAGCAAGAAGAGTTCCCTGGAGGATCTCAGCCTCAGCCGGAGCCTGAGTCGCAGCGAGAGCAGGGGAAGGAGCATTCACCGATCCGGGGACTATGCTCCCTCGATAAGGATCACCTCGGAGCATCGGTCTTTGGGTTCGGCGGAATCCCGAAGGAGTCCGCTGGGCAATAGGGAAACGAGTCCGTATCGATCCCATAGGGAGGTGGGCAGGGAGCTGTCACCGCGTCGAAGGCGGCTGGAGGAGGAGGACGAGGAGCGTAAGGATCGGGAGAGCAGTAGGGTAAGACGTGATAACTTGTTGCCAAATTATTTTGCTGATAATCGTAGCGAACTAAGTAGCGGGAGTAGTTTAACCGGGTTTAACCACAAAGTAGATAGACAACTAGAAGAGACGTGCGCCAAGTATGCGGACGATGCCAGACGCTCGGCCTGTCGCACACCGTTGAGCCACCCGTACGAGTCCCGCACCACAGCCACAGCCACACGCCACAGCCACAGTCACACCGATCCTGTCCAGATCCAAGCCAGCACAACCGGATCAGCCAGTGCAATCGATAGTTTCCCCCGGCCCGTGTCGCCCTACCGCCAGCCCTACGATCCCTATCATCGGTCTCCCGGTGGAGGCACACCCCTTTACCAGCCCGGCAAGCTGGAGATCCGGCACACCACCGTCACCTCGACCTTCTACGATCGGTTCCTCACCGAGAAGCAGATCGAGCGGCAGACCCACTCCCGTCCGCCCAGCCGATCGCCAGTGGTTTCACCCTCGGTGCCGGCCAAGAGCTACGGGGATTTGTGCAGCACCACTTCAGCCATATCCAGCACCACCTCCACCACTGCTTCTACCACCACCACCTCCTCCTCATTCATGTCCAGCAGCTATGCTGGTGCCTCCTTTTCGCTGCCCACCAGCAGCAACTACTCCTATTTGAACCCGACTCCGGGTGTCTCCGCCACTTCGCCCAGGGCCAGTTGCTCAGATCTTCGCTCCACCACCACCGCCGCATCCTTAACCACCACCACCATCGCCACCACATCTTCTTCTTATGTGCCCTACAATTTCAGCAGCTCCTTCACCTCTCGCCTGAGCGAACCCATTACCACTTGCTCGTCGAGTGCTGTGAGCACTAGTTCCCTCACCCATTCCACGGGTGTATACAATCCCATGATGTCGTTCACTCTGAGGGAACCACTTGCCAGCAGTTCCCTGGGTGCTTCAAGTGCCTCCCCATTGCTACCGTTTCAGTTTAACAGAACCTTTACTTCCAACTTCGACAAGGAGCAGAACAAACAGTAGAGGAAGTCACATCAATCGTTAACCGAAGGTTGTCCATTAACATTAAAAGCCCTTGAAAACTTTTTCCCAATAACAAATCGATACAAATCAAGCTCAAAACTTATTATACTGAGAAAAAAATCAGTCTAAGAACAATACTAGTTTAAAAATATGTTTCATAAACAAAATTAAAGTCTATTACTAGAATTTAAACTGCAAAAGAGAAGTTTAGTTTATAAAGCTTGTGTTCTATGTATAATTCTAAAAATCTCAAAGATCTTAAGTTTAGAGATACTTAATAATCTGAAATTATTCAGAACTTAAAAATTAACTAAAAACAATTCTTAGCATTAAATGTTTAATGTTGATACTTCTTTGATTCTAAAAATACTTTTCTTATTTTAGATCGGTTTTTATCTCAGTAAAACTTAACTCTCGCTAAGCAATATAAGTATAGTAAATATTATAAACAGTTATAGGCAAACACAACTACATATTCTCTATAAATATATACAATCCTTGCAAAATCGGATATTTACTCTTCAAGCAACTCTTGCACCAAACCATTTTGGCTTATTGCAACTTACCTCATCTACATTGACAGCACCAGCAACTCAACTGATCATAACTTAGCAAAGATTTTTATACAATATATATCTACGCATATACAAGGAGTATAGCTATCGAAACTGTAACCAGGAAGAGGGCGAAATGTTATTACATCTTTTTCAGCGTTAACCAAAGTTTAGCTCTAATTCCCTTAACCAGAACACTCAATTAAGCTTAAACTTTTCCTTAAAATTAACCAATCAATTTACACTAACCCAGATTAATACACACTCTTCAAAAACGGTGTTAAACTCTAAAGTGCATTTTTGGGCCGAGTTAGTCGAGGAAGCTAAATACAATGATTAATCAAATTACGTTAACTGACTGACACGAGCCGTAAAATTAGTTTGCCAACATTGTTAAATATACACGCAGCCATATATATGTACCTATACCAATTGAACGATATATATTGTATTTAATTACATACCGATTGCAGTTGTTGAATTTCAATTTTGCAAAGGACACGATTACGATTATGAATAAGCAAGTAAAAGTAAACCCGAATGCAAATGGCTATAGAAACAATTATCACTCGCGGCAGAGAAGCCGAAAGTTAATCAAAACGATTAGGAAAATTTTATGACAAGTATATCGATTTGAAATCGGCAAGATCCCAAGACATATACCAATTGCAATTGTTAAGTAGGCAAGAGACGACAACGGCTTCAGTTTATACGCATAAATTTAATATTGTCTAATGTTCTCTTGAATTTTGTTCTCCAATTATGTTTGCGATTCTTTTCTTGTTATTGAGACACGTTTGTAAACCATTTCTGTTACTGTTTAAAGTTTTTCTGAGAAAACCACAAGCTAACGAATTGGTAAATAATAGTGAAAATATTTTTATTACAAATTGTTGAAGAGTTTTAAGTTTTGAAATAAAATGAAAATATTTAAAACCAATCCTGAGTTTTTGTGTTCAATGTATTTCGATCACTCGGAGAGAGCCACTGATAAGCTGAGATGATAATTACCCTGCCTTATCAACTGAAATGGAAAAATCTTTCCAGCCTAAAGTCAGTCAGTGATTGAAATCCGCGTGGCGTGGACGTGCCTTAGTTAATTCCTCTCAACCATGCAGCGATTTCTTGGAAGGAACAGTCAGAGCCTACTGCTGCGATGTGGTCATCGCTATCTGGCCACCACTCCTGTGGAGGAGGTTCTATTCCCCACCAAATCGGACTTTCCCAGCCGTCATATAGGTCCTCGCAAGACGGATGTGGTTGCCATGTTGGATACTTTGGGTTACAAGGTAGGAAGATCTCCAGATCTTCAGAATCTTCAGTTTTAAATCAGCAAATCCTAAAATCTACATCTTAAGCATTGAACTTAACTTAACCAAGTTAGTTTTGTAGAATATCTAGTAACTCTCTTAAATTAATCCATTAGTCCCTGGCTGAGCTCACTGAAAAAGCTGTTCCCAAGAGCATTCAACTGAAGAGGGAACTCGACCTGGCCAAACCCCTGAGTAAGTAGCGCTACATACATTATAATCCCAAAATAGCTAGAAATATAGGCGCTAAGGCAATGGACCCCCTGGCGTGTTCGCATGCGCTGATAAGCCCGTCGATAAGCCCGGTTCAGCGGGGTCTCTCGGACTTATCTGTGTTTTGACTGCCTCGGCTTAATCTTCGATTTTCGTCTCCGTCTGGCTGACAACAAATTTCTACTTGTCCCCACAGATGAGCACGAGCTAATCCGCCGAATCCGCGACATATCTCTGAAGAATCAGCTGTGGCGCTCCTACATTGGAATGGGTTACCACAACTGCCATGTGCCGCACACGATTATACGGAATATGTTTGAGAATCCGGGCTGGACCACGCAGTATACCCCATACCAACCGGAAATTGCCCAGGGTCGCTTGGAGTCGCTGCTCAACTATCAGACGCTGGTTTCCGATCTCACTGGCTTGGATGTGGCCAATGCCTCGCTTTTGGACGAGGGAACCGCTGCCGCCGAGGCCATGTGCCTGGCCACGAGGCACAACAAGCGGAAGAAGCTGTACCTCTCGAACAGGGTTCATCCGCAGACCTTGTCCGTGGTCAAGACTCGAGCTGAAGCCCTGGAATTGGAGATCGTGGTGGGACCCATTGAACAGGCCGATCTTCCCAGTCGCGACTTGGCCGGCATTCTTCTCCAGTATCCGGATACTTATGGTGATGTCAAGGACTTTGAGGATGTCGCTGCATTGGCGAAGAAAAATGGGGTAAGCTAAGTTAATCAGAAATATCGTTAGATATAAATTCCGCGTTGGATAACAAATTTATTTATCAAAGTCATGAACATTATGAAAGCTTCTAAAACACTACTATTAATTTAAAATATATTATTTGGGTATTCAAAAATTGCCAAACAAAAGAAATTCCAAAGAAAACTAAAAAATAAATGTGTTTCCAACATAGAGATATAAAGATAATTCTGAATCTCTCCTAAAAAAGTACTCTTTTAAAGTTGTAGATTAAATATATTATGTTAATTCTCCTAATTTCATTCTTTTTAGACCCTTGTGGTGGTGGCCACTGATCTGCTGTCCCTAACTCTCCTTCGTCCTCCGGCGGAATTTGGAGCGGATATTGCTGTGGGAACTTCCCAGCGTCTGGGAGTTCCTCTGGGCTATGGAGGACCCCATGCTGGATTCTTCGCCTGCAAACAGAGTTTGGTGCGCTTGATGCCCGGCAGGATGATCGGGGTCACCAGGGACATGGACGGAAATGATGCCTACCGATTGGCCCTGCAAACCAGAGAGCAGCACATCCGAAGAGACAAGGCCACGAGTAACATCTGCACGGCTCAGGCTCTTCTGGCCAATATGTCGGCCATGTATGCCATTTACCATGGTCCCGAGGGCTTGAAAGCCATGGCCAATCGCATCCACCACTTCACGCTGACCCTGCAAACAGGACTCCAGGGAGTGGGACACGAGGTGGTCAACAAGAACTTCTTTGACACGCTGAACATTAGATTGAGTGGAAATCAGTCGCTGGAGGATCTCAAGGAGCGCGCCGAGCACAAACGCATTAATCTTCGATATCTGGAGGATGGAACCGTGGGCGTGGTTTTGGATGAAACGGTCAGTGTGGCAGATGTGGACGATCTGCTGTGGGTTTTCAAGGCGGAGGCCACGGTGGAACAAATCGTGGCACGACGCGATGTCCTTAAGAACTCTATTGAGAACTCCAAGTTCCTAAGAACTTCGCCCTACCTGCAACATCCCATTTTCCAGAGCTATCACAGGTGAGATTAAAGCTTTTTGCTTGTAGTTGATCTTACATTTTTAGAGATCCTTCTTTTATTAAGTTTTAATAGATGGGTATTTCTATCTATCCATCTACCATTAGAAAATATTTTAAAGCCCTTCCTCTTTTACAGCGAATCCCGCATGGTGCGCTATATGAAAAAGCTGGAAAACAAGGACATCTCTCTCGTGCACTCAATGATTCCGCTGGGATCCTGCACCATGAAGCTCAACGCCACCACCGAGATGATGCCCTGCTCCTTCCGCCACTTCACCGATATCCATCCCTTCGCTCCTGTGGAACAGGCCCAGGGTTTCCACCAGATGTTCAGTGAACTAGAGCATGATCTCTGCGAGATTACAGGGTATGACAGGATATCCTTCCAGCCCAACTCGGGTGCGCAGGGAGAATATGCCGGACTGAGGGCCATTAGGAGCTACCACGAGCACCGAAATGAAGGTCACCGAAATATCTGCCTGATACCAATCTCAGCTCATGGCACAAATCCAGCCTCTGCTCAAATGGCCGGAATGAAGGTGGAACCCATTAGGATACTGTCGAATGGGTCCATTGATATGGCTCATTTGAGAGCCAAGGCGGAGGAGCATTCCAACGAGTTATCCTGTCTGATGATCACCTATCCATCGACAATGGGGGTGTTTGAGGAAACGGTGGCGGATATTTGCACCCTGATCCACAAACATGGCGGTCAGGTGTACCTGGATGGAGCGAACATGAATGCTCAGGTTGGCTTGTGTCGCCCAGGAGACTATGGCAGCGATGTCTCGCATCTCAACCTGCACAAGACCTTCTGCATACCGCATGGAGGAGGTGGTCCTGGAATGGGTCCCATCGGCGTGAAGGCCCACTTGGCACCTTACCTGCCAGGACATCCGGTAGTCAGTCCATTGAGCAGTGAGGAGCACAGTTTTGGAGTGGTTTCCGCTGCTCCTTTCGGCAGCTCTGCCATCTTGCCCATATCCTGGTCTTATATCAAACTCATGGGCAGTCGAGGATTGAAGAGAGCCACCCAAGTGGCCATTCTCAATGCCAACTACATGTCCAAGCGGTTGGAGCAACATTATAAGACCCTCTACAAGGCACCCAATTCGCAGCTGGTGGCCCATGAGTTTATTTTGGATATACGCGATCTGAAGAAGACAGCCAATATTGAGGCAGTGGATGTGGCCAAGAGACTTATGGATTACGGCTTCCATGCACCCACGATGTCCTGGCCCGTGGCTGGAACACTGATGATCGAGCCCACCGAATCCGAGGACAAGGAGGAGTTGGATCGTTTCTGCGATGCCATGATTTCCATCCGAGAGGAGATTGCCGAGATCGAGGCGGGACGCATGGACAAGTCCGTGAATCCCCTTAAGATGTCTCCCCACACCCAAGCTCAAGTCATCTCGGACAAATGGGATCGGCCTTACACTCGTGAGCAGGCTGCCTTCCCAGCTGTAAGTTTGCACACTTTAATAGATTTTGTTGCATAAATTCATTTGCCGTATTTTTATAGATCTTTGTGAAACCAGATGCCAAGATCTGGCCCACTGTGGGCAGGATCGATGATGCCTATGGCGACAAGCATCTTGTGTGCACCTGTCCGCCTATATTGCCTGATTTATAAGGCACTTTAGATCTAAGACAAACCTAACACTTTTTAATGAAACCAAATAAAGTACCTTTTGTAAAATACTTATTTTAATAGTTTTACTAAACTTGGCCTTTTTATAACAGTAAATTAATTTTGATGGTTTAGGCATATTAAAAATTAAAATACAGATAATATTAACTAAATAAATGCAATATGTTTTGAAAGAATATTTCAAACTAATTTTTGATAGAAAGTACATTACTTATATTTCGTTTTCTTGGCTTTAGATTCAATTTTAGAATCCTTTACAAAGTTCCTATACTGTTTGCAAAAAGTATTTACGTTATTTGCGGGTATGGTCCACTCAATGGTCTCAGACTGTTTTGTAGGATCGGATGATTCCGAATATTCGGGTATTTCGACTCCCAATAGTTTGCAAACCTTGGACAAAACCACATCCACATAGCTGGATATGATTAAATTGGCCTTTTTGTCATGTTTTGTAGGTTGTAGATTACAAATTACAAATTTACCACCTCGTTTGAGATTTTTCAAAGGAAGATCACCGCTGGGAACGATTTGTAAAGTGGTTCCAAGAGCAATATTCAAATCAGCGATGGTGGAGTGCATCAGACCCATCTCCAGGTCGTTTTCGGGAAGATCATGTTCCCAATCTAGAACGTTATCGTATAGGATTCCCGATCGGCAGCTGCGGCCCTTATTGTCCATAGAAGACTTGCAGGGTCGGTCCAGAGATTTTTGACCGACTGTTTCCACAGCGGATGATCTTACAAATTGGCGTCTGCATTTCTTACATTGTTCGATGTAGATATTGCCGTGCAATTCGGAAAGATATTTTCTATTCAGACCGGATTTTAGGTGCAGACCATCAATGTTCTGGGAGATCACATACTGCACATAGCCACTTTCGATCAGCGCTATAATGGCCATGTGGGTTTTGGTGGGCGTAGCTTCATCAAAGGAAACGTTAAAGTCCGGCTTCTCGCCCTTCTCCTCCAGGGTCCAAACGCCCTTGGGTCCGCGGAAATCCG